TCTGTCATATTTGTTTTTATATAAATATATGTATTTTGTAAACCATTTGGAAATTAATTGCTTGATGCTTTACCCCTAAATACTTGGCATGCATATCAGGGAAAAATAAGAATACTTTGCTATGCAGTCTCAGATAATTATCAGACTGTAAATAAGTTAGAGTCCCAAATCTAGCTAGTTTCCAGTGTGTATTTAAATTTCTTAATTTCCAAGAATTTTACAATAAGGGCATAATCATTTTGTTTGTAGCATTGCATTTTGTTGTTATAATTCTCTGGTCTTTTCTGAACACCAAGCAATTTCCCCACTGTTTTATGTTTCCCCTTTCTGACAGAGGTTTTCTGAAGAAGGTTGGGCAGATGTTTGTAGGAGGTTCTATACTTTTGATTTATCATATTGCTTGCTTGTTTGGGAGTTACTTCACTTTGTCCTTGATCTCTTGCATTCTTTATAAACTGGAAATTTCAGGAAACACGTTTGCCAAGAGCGCTACCCTAGGCTGTGCAATCCTGATGCACCAGACTAGATGCAGTGCCCGGGGAGCCTGTTGCTCTGCTGTTAGTTTATGTCTGGGATAGAATGGTGTCTCCAGCTCTCTCCCTTGCAAAAACATTTTCCCTTTGTCTCAGCAAGTAGTCCCTGGAATGGCACTCAGCCTCTTCCCTGAAACTTCCAATCCCAGGGTGTCAGCAGCCATTCACAGCGTTAACTCAGGTGCGATATTCCTGTGGTTTACAGAACAGCGGTTTCCTGGTCTTTTCATTTCCTATAGGGTTTTGAGTCTTCAGTCTAGTATAAGAAGCTCATTCCCTTGTCCCTTCATGGGTAAATGTTCCTCCTAAACAGGTTGTGCCAAATGCTGGATTCTTTCCCTTTATTCAGTTTCCAGAAAGTTGGAGTGATGATCAATGCAATGTGTCCAGTGATTTTCATTTCATGCTTTAAAATCATTTACACTCACCCTTCTTCCAGTTGCTTACCTATACCACATTTTGGTCCTAGCTTCTGTTGGACTTCGCCAATCATCATCCTGTCCTCACTCAGGCCCTCTGGACACTCTTTTGTGTAAATTGTTTCTGAACAAGAAAATAATTTTATATATGGCTCAGGTGTACTTGTTCTGTGCTGTTACTTTTAATCTTTCAAGTTTGGATTATTTCTCCTTTTTAAAACTTCCTAAATGTTTTTTGCCACAATTCAATTTATTATACTCATTTATTGATCTGTCTGCTGCTACCAGAGACTTTGGAATCCCAGAGTATACAAAATAATTAGTAAAAACATTTTTCCATTCCCATAGCTCAGATACTTACATGTAGTAGGTATTCATTAAGTAGAAATGAGTCAACAGGTATGGTGGTTTAAATAAAAATGATCCCCATAGGCTCATAGATTTGAATGCTCACTCACCAGGGAGTAAGGCACTATTTGAAAGAATTAGAAGGGAGTGTGACCTTGTTGGAAGAAGTGTGTCACTGGAGTTGAGCTTTGAGGTTTCAAATGCACATGTCAGGTCCAGTTTCTCTCTCTCTCTCTCTCTCTCTCTCTCTCTCTCTCTCTCTCTCTCTCTCTCTCTCTCTCTCTCTCTCGCTATGGATCAGGATGTAGCTCTCAAGTACTTCTCCAGCACCATGCCTGCCTGAGGGCTCCTTGCCATGATAATGGACCAAACCTCTCAAACTGTAAGCAAGCACCAATTAAATGCTTTCTCTTATAAGAGCTGCCTTGGCTATGGTGTCTCTTTACAAAAATAGAACTGTGAATGCGGAACATGACCTGTGACTAGAACATGAATGCTGAAAATGCCCAGGAATAGAGACTGAATAATTTTGAATGAAGGAGAAGTATGAACCTAATACAAATGAATTCAAGGAATTCAAGGCTGGGGTGGGGGTGGTTAAGGAAGCTATTACCTGCAAAAAGCCTCAGGCAAGAAACTTAGACACCAAATCACTCTCACGGCATATTAGAAATCAAGCAGGAAAATGAAACAGAGCAGGAAAGCAAATGGAAAATGTTGGAAATGCACTGTGTGCGATGGGCTTTTGTGACGACGGTGGCACATAAATCTGTAATTGGAAACAAGGAGAAGTAGAGAGGCTTCTGCAAGATCACCTCCCAAGGATGCACCTCCTTTTCTATGTAGGCATGTGCACATCCTCTGAGGTTTCCTAATGGGGCTTGAGTATAGACAACTCTAAAAAAGTTAGGTTAGAACAAAGAGTCATGGAAAGTAAGCCAGATAGGAGATTAAATCTGCAGGATAGAGCAGAGTGAGCAGATGGGACTGGGGGGAACCTCAGGCCTCAGCACTAAATGGCCCTTGTTCCAGGATTCTGGGGAAATAGGATCATTAAATCCCAGTGCTTCTCTGCTAGTAATGGAGCAGCAGATACTTGAGAAAATTCAGCACCCCACTATGAGAGGATCAGGTGCAGGAGGATGCCTTTTAAACCCAGGGACATTCTGGTTGAGATTTTATGATCATAGGGCAGATTGTCCCTCCAGAAGTGATGGTGTAGGATTGCTGGGGTATCAACAGGATACACTATAGGAACCTGTCTTATTGGTGGCATCTCTAGCTCTGGATACATATATCATCCAGCTAGCATGCAGAGGGACACCAAGCTCCTGTCAGCTTTCCTGATGTTCTCCCTGCAAGAGGCTTTATCTGATGTCCAAAGCAAATGACACTCGCCCTCCTACTGCTTTCTCCAATTTCCTTCTCATAGCTCTTCCTTACTTCATGGACTTGATCTCAATTCATGTCATGAATTTTCTCTCTGAGTTTGCCACTTCCCCTGGACTAAGCTGTAATAGATATTTTTTCCACTGTAGAAGTAACCGTCTTATTCAATAAGAAACACAGAACCAATGCAAAGATGAAAGCCCAAGAGGTCAGAGCTAAGAGCCTTACCCTTCACTCTGCAGCTATCCTCTTCAGCCAAGAAACCTACTTCCTGTGTGTTTGTCTTTATAAAGATTTTCTGTTCTGCCTTCTCATTGGGTAAACCCAGCCACATGACCGCCTCGTCACTGCCTGTCTGTACAGACCTCCAGGTCTTCTATGGTTGGTATTGAGATTAAAGGCATGTGTCTCCATGTTGGCTGTATCCTTGAACACACAGAGATCTGCCTCCCAAGAGCTGGGATTAAAGGCATGCACCACCCACCCAGCTTCTGTGATGGCTTGCTATTAGCTCTGACCCTCAGGCAACTTTATTTATTAACATACAAATAAAATCACATTTCAGTACAAATACAATATCACCATATTTCCCCTTTTCTATTTTAATAAAAAGGAAAAAGGTTAATACTAACATAAGAAAAACTATATACAAAAGTACAATAACTATATACCATATATACAAGTAATAAATACCTAAACAATGTCTAGTCCATTTGTATTTGACAAAT